TAAACCTACATGTAGTTAATGCTTCCACGGAACCCACAAGACCCCCCCCCCCCTCATAAAACTACAGTAAAGGGATGAATAACTTGAAATTTGATTTGTGCATATGGACTAGTTTTATGGTGCTTAACAGTCACTATAAAATGTTGTTGAGTTACACTTTATTTTAAGGTGTCCTTGTTACAGTGTAATTATAAATTTAAGTACTTAAGTAATATTAATTAACTATGTATAGGGTTAGGATTAGGGTTTGGCTTAGGGTTACTTGCATGTAATTATGCATAATTAAGAGTTATTGTAATAGTTAATACATGTAACGTGCAACAAGGACACCTTAAAATAAAGTGTTACCAAATGTTCTATGTGAAAAGAAAAGAAAAATTCCTTTAGCTTTATGTAGAATATGTAACAGCACCCAGGTTTAGAACAACACGAGGGTAAGTGAATGAAATGATTTTTCCTTTTTAGTGAACTATTCCTTTAACTACCAGGGTGATTCAGAGAAAAGGCTCTGGCATGGTAATGTATGTCAGAGTTGGAGCAATAGCTAGAGAAGAGCGGACAGTCACACATGAGGTTATCACTTTATCAGTATCGCAGTTCTTGTGATCTGTGTTTAACCCATGAGACTAGTACCGTTTGACTAATCATCTCAGGTTAAACATACAGAAAGTTTATCATTAGGTAAACTTTCTTTGTTTCCATATTTAAACCGACATCTCTCAGCATTGTTTGTTCTCTGTCTAGGCCTTCTGAACTGCAAATACGGTCGAGGCTGGATGGAACACCACAAACTGGCCGTGAACTGCTTCCGCTTCTTTGGCAGTGGTCAGCGGATGTTTGGGAGGATTTCTGAGGAGTGCCTGTTTTTTCTCCATGCCGTTGAGCAGCATCAGGGGAAGCCCTTTAACCCTAAGCATCTTGTGACCAATGCTGTGTCCAACATCACCAACCTCATTATCTTCGGGCAACGTTTCACCTACGACGACAGCGATTTTCAACACATGATTGAGATCTTCAGCGAGAATGTGGAACTGGCAGCCAGTGGCTGGGCTTTCCTGTACAACGCCTTCCCCTGGATGGAGTACGTGCCCTTCGGGAAGCACCAAAAGCTCTTCCGCAACGCCAACAAGGTCTACGACTTCCTTCTGCAAATCATCAAGCGCTTCTCGCAGGATAGGGTACCCCAGTCGCCGCAACATTACATTGATGCCTACTTGGACGAAATGGAGCAGAGCGCCACCGATAAAGCTACATCTTTCTCTCAAGATAATCTCATTTTCTCTGTTGGAGAACTCATCATTGCGGGAACAGAGACTACCACAAATTGTCTGCGCTGGGCTATGCTCTACATGGCTCTGTATCCCAGGATACAAGGTTGGTGCCCACAGAGCAATGGGTATTTTTTCTCGTTTGCATCATTTGAATGTCGTTGCACTAATCACGTTACATTTTTTCCGTGCAGAAAAGGTCCAAATGGAGATCGATTGCATCCTGAATGGCAGACCACCTGCTCTTGAAGACAAGCAGAGGATGCCGTATGTGGAAGCAGTGCTGCATGAAGTCCTGCGCTTTTGCAATGTTGTCCCACTGGGCATCTTCCGCGCTACGTCTCAAGATGCGGTGGTGCGTGGCTACACTATCCCCAGGGGCACCATGGTCATCACTAACTTGTACTCGGTGCATTTTGATGAGAAGTACTGGAGTGACCCATCCATCTTCTGCCCAGAGCGGTTCCTTGACTGTAATGGCAAATTTGTCCGGCATGAAGCGTTTCTTCCTTTCTCCATAGGTAAACGGCAGATATTTGGGAAATCGGTCAATCTAGAAGATTTCCGTTGTTCTGATGTATCTGATTTCTGTGTGTTTGTCTTTAGGTAAGCGGCACTGTCTGGGAGAGCAGTTGGCCAGACTGGAGATGTTCTTGTTCTTCACCACATTGCTCCAGAGGTTCCATCTTCAGTTCCCCGAAGGCTTTATTCCAAGCCTCTCTCCGAAACTAGGCATGACCCTTCAGCCTCGATCGTACTCCATATGTGCCATCAGGAGACAGCAGTAAACCTTGCCCCGTGAGCTCTGGAACACATGCACTCACCTCAGGGGATCCTACTAAGAAAAGCAAACGGCAGAGCAGTTCCCCGTCTTAAATTCCATCAGCGGGGAATACTGACCTCTGATATTGACTTGTTAAATTCTCAGAACGTGTCCTCCATAGTTTCACAGAACCCAGCCTGAGAGTGATAAGAGTACTGCTACAGAACACATGCTCGGGAGAGCAAAGAATGAGCACGTGTGTTACCCAACGAGAATGTACATGAGGGTATCAAGATAAATGTAGCATGTATCTTTCATAACTTGAACCAATAAGTGTACTGTGTAGCAAACCGAACGTTGTGCTTGTCAATATGAGAAGAGCTTTTGTGTCAATGATTGACAGGGTTTAACTCTATAATGATTTTGAGGTCTGTCTTTTCCAGCATTCCTTGAATTCCCCCATTTCTGGAGTCGGGCAAGTGAGAGGAGAACAGCTCCCTTTCCCAGAAAGTTTTGGAAATGCTTGATGTCTCCCATTGGTTTAATGCCATATATCAATTCTGCAATAACGGCCCTGTCCCTAGTTTATCTCAGTGGAAAGAGACTGTCCAGAAATTTGAGCTGCAATATTTCTGACAGAAAAAAAATGGTGCTTTCATGAAAAGCTGGACTCCAATATACATTTTATAGCTCAATATTATTTTTAGTTCACTTTTAACAAGCTTTTTTTGCATGTTGTGATAAAAAAAAAGAAAAACCTGATAAAAAAATAGTATAAAATAAAGACAAAATAAGCCTTAATTTTGCGAGTTCCTAAGCTTTCTGTCTGCGACCTCTCTTTCAACTGTGCTGGAATTTTACGAAGCCAATTATACACCATATAAAGCTGGAAAAGGAGCATATAGATAGAAACCTCAAGATTTCCTGAGTGACTCGTGTAGTTGTACCAGTTGGTTTGGCACATATCAAAAATGAATGATTTTCAATGGCATTTTTTTTTTGCTCTAAGGGTTTGTTGATTGTGAACCTATGTAATATCTTATTTTCCTTCTGCAGTGCCTTCAAAACCCCCATGTTGTCACTGTAAAAACATTTATAGGCTAAAAAAATCTTTCCGGTCTGTTGTCTAAACTGCACAGGACCGGAAAACTCATTTAAAAGTGAAGTGACGGGTAGGGGCATTGTTGCTTTGGGTAAGCTGTCACAGAGATGCTGTCATCTGAAGAGATAAGGCTGGCCTTTCATACGACCCACACTTGGGGACTCATCATCCGCCGACTGTCATCTTACAGGCAGTTCCTCCCAGGAGAACACTTGGGCTTTCATCTGAGCACGAAGGAAACATGCAACTCGATGATGCTCAGTAGCACACTTAGATAATGTCAAAAACATGTTGCATCATAGAGATAATTCTGAAGGGTGAAGACATTCTGCTTGTGTTTGGACATCTCTTAATAGGTGAAAGGTCATGATCAATGCTTGTTCCTTCACTGCGGTGGTGCGATTAAAATGTTACATGTGTACCTGGATAATGTGGTTTGCGCAAGTATTATGATTCTACTATTAACAAGACCAGGGTTTTTCAAATGTTTTGATAGCAAGGACCCCCAACAATTTTTATCTCTTAGGGACCCTGAGAATTTTTCATGTATACAAAAAAAACGATCAGTAAAAAAGTACAATTGTTAAAGTAAATTGTCAAGTATTTTCAAGATAAAAATAAAAATGCCTTTAATATGCTGTACACTTAAAACATAAATTCTTTCCTCATAAGTAGACAGAGTATCTGAGAATTATGTTATGTATATATTTTTGTCTTTGATAAGCTGTCAACTAATTTTTTTAATCAAAAAATATTTACTTTTGAGATGACAGCTCAAGCTAAAAAAAAAAAAGTATAGTTTTTTGGGGAAAATACAAACTACATAAAATCAAATGTGTGAGGTCAGTACATTTTTAAAGAAATGAATACTCGTCAAGGATTAAAGCGATCAAAAGGGACCCTAAAGATGATTATAATCTTCATAATGTTCTATTCATGAAAGGATCCTGCTTTGTGGTTTACACATTTCTGAAGGATCATTTGACACTGAAGACTGGACTAATGACTGCTGAAAAAGTTTATAAAGTGAATTTACAATATTTCACCATGCTTTTGTTCATGTATTTATGGAGCCTCAGTGAACAAAACATGCAGATTTTTTCTTACCGTTTAAAAACTAGTACTGTCAATAGATTTAATTAATATCATAAGTGCAAACATCGACTTCTCTGACGGCTCTAACAGCCTTAAAATACATTCCCTGACGCCCCTAAAATAAATTTTTTAATTCAATTTTTGATTTTTTTTTTGCAGGCCCATTTTCACACACTAATTTGAAAACCCCGGACTTAGAACAGGCAAGTACACATCCGCTCCCATGCAAAACACAGAAGACAAAAAAAATGACACTGACAGGCAGAAATCAATTGAGAGACAGAGTGAAACTCTTGTTCAGGGATGGTGCTTTTATGACAGCTATAAATAATAACAAAAAATTCAGTTCTCCCCCACAACCCTGAAAAGGCTGAATGGTTACATCAGACATTGCCATCTAAATGCTACATAAAAAAGTGAATGCCATCGTAAAGTTACTGATGACAGGAACATCGGAGGTTACTGTGGTGTGACGAACCCCCAAAAGTGAGATACCACAGTCGAGTAAGTGGTCAACACGAGGGGATGGGGGCGCCGTGAAGCTCTGATCCACCGTCACCCTGCTTGGCAACCTGTTTGAGCCCAGCCGGGGTGAGCTCAGTGAAGTGGAGGGGAGAGTGGACGAACTGAGCCACACTGGAGTCCCGGAATCCAAGAACTGATGAATACACAGTCTGGACAGAAAAAGAGAAAGACCACAAGCTGCTTTGGGTGCGCACAAGCCCCCAACACAGAACACACCCTGAGCACAGGCCAAAAAAGTGACTAATGAACAAACCCACAAAGGGAGACAGAGACAGGGAAGCATCCGGCATCGCCACCAGCTTAAGAAATTAGGGGCTTTCGGCAAAAGAGTGGTTATGGGCAGGAACAAAAGACAGTGCACCCCAAAAAAACAACCAACAAACTGAAAAACAAAACACCCAAACACATCCACATCTGTAAATAGCATTAGATTTTTTTTTTTTAAACTCCTGAAACAAGATGATAATTACATGGTCTCAATGTACATAATATGTCAGCTGTATGTAGAAAACAGATGCATTGTTGATTAATTAAAAAATATATAATATAATATATATATTTATATATGCAAGTATTCTTTCGGTGCAGAGGTTAAACACTTGTTTGGTAGTAAAATGTGCACATTTATATCTTTTTTTTTTACTCTTAAATATACTAGCTTGATTTACACTGCCTACTTGAGAACTTTCCTCTACAGAGACAAAATGAGTTTTTGTTGAGGTGAGGCAGACCGAGAGAGAGAAAGAGACCCGGGTTCATCTCCGCCTCCCCGTCCTCCCCTCATTATTCTAGTGGAATGCCTAGAGTTCTTGCTTGAGACAAAAAAAAATATAGAACTATTAGTATTAAACTTGCCTTATGGTGAAGAATAAGAAAATACAAAGGAAAAAAAAAGTACAGCTTTCGAGGTGAAACCCTGAATTCCTTGAAAATGAACTGGCCGGATTTTGCGTTTGGCAATAATTAAAGTACAAGCATGTTCAAATAATGCCAAACATGAGGTTACCCCCCAAAGCAATGTTTAGTCTATGACATGCATGCTAACTCAAACATTTAGTTTTCAGTTAACTTCCCTGGCTCCCAATTCTTATCAGGGGGTCTTTGAAAAAATAAACATGGATATACTGGTCTGGAGCAGATGATAAAGATGGGGGTTAATATGTAGGACACTGCACTTTGGGGGAGCATCTTTTGTTGTTAGCGACTTTCAAGCTATTCATACAAAAAACAGAAACTTTTTTTTTTGTCCCACCTCTGAAAAGAATGATCGACGTACAAGTTGAAATTGCAGAATTAAATTTTCGCAAAAAACAAGGATCAATCCTTCACATGAATCCTGAGTAACCGTGAAAAAATATATCTATTTAAACGTAAAAAAGGAGAAACGTCCCTTCATTTGAACAACATTCCTGTCCCATTTGCGATGCTTTTAAACACAGACAGACTTTACAGAGAAACGACTGGCAACTCAGCATTCCTGAAGAGGAAAAAGGGGGAGCCGGGGGACACCACAAATGGAAAAAAAAGAAAGAAACAACCTTACAAACAACAAATGCAAACAAAAAACTGCAAGAAGGTGATCAACATGAATAAAAAGCATCCAAAACGATGCAGAAGTCAGGTCATTTTTCAGTCAAAATGTCAGGATTTGCACTTGTCCTAATAACTGTTCAGTAATACAGTGTTTTATGTCACCAGCATGAATTGGGGACTGCACATACAGTGCAGCGTGCATAGCCCATTTTCTGGACCACAAGAAAAATAAAAACAAACAATATTTTATATATATATATATTTTTTTTTTTAAAGTTCAGACAGGCACATTTTGACACTGAGCCTGAAACGGCTTCAGTCGCAGTCTTTCTATGTTTTTGAACTGTTCGCTTTGGTAACGGGTGTCAATTGCGTCATTGTCTTTTTCGTGTCCTTTTGGACTTAAGTACCTACGGGAGAGTTAAGAGCTCTACGTTTAAGGCCAGGGAACCATGGGATGGCACGATTCTCCCCTGCCTGTGTTCCTCTCCGTCTTGGTTTTAATCTCACAACACGATTCGGCGTCTTCAAAGCTCTGTTCGTTCTCCGCTGCTTCTCCATGGGGTGAAAGTGCATAGGAGTGGGGTTCCCACCAAAGGGTCCTCTCACAGTAGTAAGGCCTTTTTTTCAACACAATGTGAACTGCATTAGCTTCAGAGTGTCGGCACAGTGACGAATTTCAGCACGGGGAGATCCGCTAGGGTCTTCCTCTGGGTGTCAATGTGTGTGTTTGTGTAGGTGAAGGAGAGGGACGGGTCGTTTAAGCCCCTCGGTGAGCTTCGTTGCTTGTCCTTCTCCTCTGGCTACTGCCGTTCCTCCTCCTCGGCCTCCTCTTGAATAACCTGGATGTCGTCGGAGGAGGTGGTGGTGGACGGAGGAAGGCTGGGGCTCTCGGATCGCTGCTGCTGAGTCTCCAGCTCTTTGGCCTTCTCCTCTTCTTCGATGGTCTTCTTCCACACCTTGTGGTTCTCTGTTAAGTGCTGCATGATGCTGCAGAATAACCGACGTTGACCCTTCCTCCTCTCTGTAAGGAAAACTACTCAATTAGTGTGTGCGATACCCAAGTACTAAATTAAAATCTAAACACAAATGGTCTATCTTTTTACAGAACTGTATATTCATACTTGGTTCAAGATCCTCGTCCAGTTCTTCATCTTCCGTTTCAATGTCTTCCGTTTCTTCTTCATCGTCTGAGCCCTCCTCGTCAATCCAGTATCCCGGCAGCAAGCCGGCAGCATCGTAGGAGTTACAAAGAGGCCCGACGATGTGCGTGATAAAAGACTCCTGTAGCTTTGATAACTGTGGTGCCGAGCGATCCATGAAAGGGCTGATGGGTAATCCTAGAGTGGCTTCTTCATCACCCTGAAAAGGTGGAAATGCACAAATGTTGATCTCAAGCTGCTGTATGTTGTGTAAGTTATGTGAAGAGAATAGGACATACCTGCTCATAAAACTCATTGACGATACCCTCTGTCCATTTGAGGTGAAGGCTGCGTTCTTTGGCTGGCCCATTGATATCTGCCAGCTTAATGCACACTTGGCACACTAACAACCTGTCATTTTCATTAGTCCAGTCGATGCCTGGACTATTCACATCATTAACCTGTAAAAAAAAAGAAGAAAAGGATCAATCAGAGGATTAACCTAAAAATAGCACAACTTTCTGCAGTAGGTATGTTCAGGAGATATGTATTAAATTATAAATTTTTAAACACAGACTACCGGTCAAAATTAAGAATAAAGAAGTTTTCATGTTTTTGAAAGAAGTCTCTTATGCTCACCATGGTTACGTTTATTTGATCAAGAAAAACATTGTGAAATATTATTGCAATTTACAAATAACATTTAAAAATATGATTACAATTTAATATAACTGTTTTCTATTTGAATATATATAAAACGTCATTTATTCCTGTGATGGCCACGCTGAATTTCCAGCAGTCATTACTCCAGTCTTCAGTGTCACATGATCCTTCAGAAATCATTCTAATATGCAGATTTAGTGCTCGAGAAACATTTCTTATCAATGTGGGATGTTTTTGTTGCTTAATATTAAGATTAAAAATTTTCAACTAAGTTCATCAAAAGTGACAGAAAATAAATTTTGTAATGGTATAAAAGATTTCTATTTCAAATGAGTGCTGTTCTTTTGAGCTTTATAGTCATCAAAGAATCGACCAAAATTTTAAGAAGCAAAAACTGATTTTAACATTGATAAAAGCTATTATTAATAATTGAGCGATTTTTCTTATTATTATTTTGCAAATGATTTTCCATGTCTGGCCATGTTGATTCCTTTAGTTGAAAGGTTTAATTAACCTAGTTATATATGGGCGCAAGGTGCTGACTAGAGGTTGACATTACTTATGATCATTAAAAAAATAAAATAACATTGATCGGCAAATTAAAGGAGACTTATTATGCTCCTTTTTACAATATGTAATACAAGTTTCAGGTGTCCCCAGAATGTGTCTGTGAAGTTTCAGCTCAAAATACCCCACAGATCATTTATTATAACATTTTGAAAATGCCTATTTTGAGCGGAAGAAACAAGATGTTTTCGTGCATGTCTCTTTAAATGCAAAAGAGCTGCTGCTCCCCGCCCCCTTTTCCAGAATAGGGCTGTGCCTTTACAGCTCCTGGCTCCGATACTCTGCTGAAAACATCTGTTTGGCTTTAAATATCATGTCTATTGAGCTGAAATCATGCGTTTTAAACCATATTAGCTTCAACTTCTGATATACGGCTTTCTGCTAAACTAAGTTCTCTTTCATGTCTTATTGCGCTTAAACTGTCAAATACACAGAAGTTTGTTAAAAAAAACAGTCGGTTATGTCTGTGAAGGTAAACAGATGAGAAAGAAATCGCATGTTTATATTAGATCTGTGTGGCAGCAGCATAACAAACAGTAAATAAATCAATAAATCCATTGCTCTCTTGTTTCCTTTGAGGCTGGGACTCTAAACAGTGTTCTGTGCTCGTCAGTGCAGCTAAAGACAGAACGGTTAGCATGCTTTGCTCGAACTTTCACCATGGCGTTCGAACTGGTACACCATTGTCACACAATGGTGGCACCGTGGGTGGAAGCTGGCAGATCAAGGGGTGGTAATATTATAATAAGATCCCCTTTCTACAACACAGAGGGAGCGAAATCTGGTTTACTGGGTTGTTCTTTATCACATTTTCTGGGTTGGTAGATGCACCGGGGACCCAATCATAGCACTTAAACACGTAAAAAGTCAGATTTTCATGATATGTCACCTTTAAAAATCAGTAGTTTAGAGTTGGTCTGATTTATTATATCAACCACAACAAGCTATTGTGCTTGTGATTGATTATTGATATTGGTTGTTGATAGCATATCAATGCACCCCTACTACTGACCTTGGAATTAAACTCTGCTAGGAAGTCAAAGTGCTTCTTTAGGTCTGTTGCGAGGATGGCCTCGATGACTAGGAACCGAAAACGCTTAAACTCAACGTGGTCCAAACTGCACAGGAAGTTGAACTCCGGCTGGGAAAGAAACAGGCTCCAGGCAGAGGCTGCATGGTGGTTCTCCAAAACTGAACGGTCATTATACAACACCGCCTGTGTGAGAGAGAGTGTGGAGAGGTGGAAATAGGGAAAGAAAGATTAAGAAAAGAAGAGGGAAACATAGTGTGCATGAGTCAAGAGGTTCCTTGCTCTGATTACAAAAGCATATGCTTCTGATAAAAGATGGGCTGGTTTCACTTCTTGACACAACAGTGTGAAAACTAGATCAAATAGCCAAGACTTCTAATGATCTATTCAGAACCAAATTAACTATACAAATTCGAAGGTTCTTCTAAACTACAATTTGGGCATTACTCATGACTTACCTGAGGAGCGTTAGTGGCTACAAGAAAGGCATTTGTGCGCCCAGGGTGATCATAGTCATGCATAGCAGCTGCTACATATAGTGCCATGAGTTCCAGCGCAGGGATATTCCAGGCCAGACAGCCGTAACTGTCATCCGAGAATGAGGAACTATTGGACGTGGCATATGCCACCCTGCCTGGGGAAATTCCACTGTCCGAATCTAATAAATACAAAGAGTGACCATGCAAGAAGAGTGGTGAAACAATATTGCACATTCTTTCCAGGTGACAGTCCATTTCAAAATCAATACAGTGTCTTACATAACGACCTAGATGACACATGCAATCTTTTATTAGCTTGCTTTATTTTAAGTGTGAATTAGTCAATAGTTTACTATTTAAATTATCAGCTAATCACATGTGATAGAGATTAGCTGATAATCATTTTCATCGTATGGCTAACAACTGATGATAAATGGCTGATTTTAAAATTCTATTTGCTAGTATTTTTTCTAAATACATTTTAAATACTAAATACTAAAGCAATTTCTTTAAATGCTATAAGTGAATTTATTTAGACATTACAACATTACAATATGCGCCCCTGGACCACAAAACCAGTCTTAAGTCGCTGGGGTATATTTGTAGCAATAGCCAAAACTACATTGTATGGGTCAAAATTATAGATTTTTCTTTTATGCCAAAAATCATTAGGATATTAAGTAAAGATCATGTTCCATGAAGATATTTTGTAAATTTCCTACCATAAATATATTAAAACATAGCAGTAATAAGCATTGCTAAGGACTTCATTTGGACAACATTAAAGGTAATTTTCTCAATATTTTGATTTTTTTGCACCCTCAGATTCCAGATTTTCAAATAGTTGTATCTCGGCTAAATATTGTCCTATCCTAACAAACATCAATAGAAAGCTTATTTATTCAGCTTTCAGATTATGTATAAATCTCAATTTAAAAAAAAATTGACCCTTATGGTTTTGTGGTCCAGGGTCACATATACAGTAATGGAAATTAATTCTGAGCTCTGCTTAAGATAACAGTAAAAAGTTTTATTAAATTATTAGTGTTTTTAAAGATTCATTTTACAGGAACTAGAGGGATAGTTTATCCCAAAAATTTTAATTTTGTCATCATTCACGCACCATCATGTCGTTCCAAACCTGTATGAATTTCTTTATTATGTTGACCATAAAAGAAGATATTTTGAAGAATACAGTCCCCATTGACTTCCCTTCCATAGTATTTTGTTCCCTACTATGGACGTCAGTTAGGACCAACAACTGTTTGGTTCTTCAAAATATCTTCTTTTGTGTTAAACATAAAGAAACTTAAACAGGTTTGGGACGACATAAGGGTGAATAATTGATGACAAAATTATTTTTTTTTGCAGAACTATTACTTTAAGATGGCAGTAAAAGTAATCTGTCAAAATCAGGGGGAATGGGAATGTAAAATGCCGAATATATCCAATTTAGATACCTGAAATAAAATAAAAAATCTCTAATATCAGACAATAATCAATATATAACCATACACAAATGCAGCATTTATGTATGAAACATATTTATTCAATTTAATTAATCAAAATCCTCAAAAAAACATGTAGATTAAATGAGAAATTGTTATAAAAGTAAATATACACTCTATATACACACAAATACACTACTCTATACACAATTATATCAATTGTTCTGCAAATGAAACACTTGCCAAACACATACACAAACACATATATACAGGTGCATCTCAATAAATTAGAATGTCATGGAAAAGTTCATTTATTTCAGTAATTAAGATGCACCTGTATATACACGTCAAGATCTGTGCAGTAATGTTCAGAGAATTTTTTTTTTATTCCTTGTGCATTATTTCTTCGCTGCTAATTCAAACTTGCACAGGCCTAAAGAAGTCACTAATGAAATAAGATAACCAAACACTGCCAAGAGGCTGCAATTAAGCTGACTGTTTTAACAGCAAACCAAATATTCTGAAACCGTACTCCATCTCTTTCACAAAGATTTTTGAATATTTTGCAACTCTGTATTTGAGCCAGCAAGTGAAGTCACTGGTCTCAGTGTGATTCAACACCTCTGCCTGCCAGAGCTGGCTGCTGCGTGGAACAGCAGCAGAGTGACTCAGAGTCAACTCCATTTGAGAAATTACAAGGGCCATCAGCAGACTTAAAATAAGACTCGGACATGCTGAGCCAGCAGCCACCTCAGATCTCAATCGCAATAGAGGATCTCTTATCGGAAAGCATTTGCGCCGCTGGCTGGAATAGCGAAGACCGGGCAGCGGCGATGGCCTCTAATTTATTTCCGATGGATCAGGAGGTATGCTAGATATAATTAGAGACAGGACTGACGATACAGATGTTCTAACCTGAATCTGTCTATCATGTACTCCATATTACCATTTTATCCAGTGCCTTAACTAAGGGCACAATGATGGTAGATCATGAATCGACCATTGTGGGATTTGAACCTACAACCTTCAGTTACCAGTCTACTTGATGCCAAAACTATAATGGAGTGTGAGAGTACAGATGTACCTGTATCACTTCCTGTGACATGCTCATTATGGATCTGCTGAAAGCCTGGGATTGGCCGGGTGGTAAGATACCACACCGCATGAAGGACGTCAGTGGCATGGACACGGTTGTGATCTGAAGGAAGAACAGAAAATAGCGCTTCACTGGAATTGTTTCCAACCGTTCCCAGCTTCACAAGACCCAAATCTTCACTGTGCTCCAATTCGAGAAATACTGGAACAATTCTAACCCAGTTTTCAAGTTTAACTTCAAACAAGATTTTTTTTATTCTCACAGGGGATGTCACGATAGCCGTTCTCCAGAGCGCAAAAGTACGTCATGAATTCCCGCACAGGGATTTTGAAGATTTCGAACAGACCCGTGTCCTGGAACAAAGTGTACGCCACCTGAGAGAATGTAACAAACAGAACTTCATTAAGACAAGACAAGCAGTGAGCCATCGAGTCCCTGCAGATTCATGTTTACTTGCACGGAGTACTGAGAAGGACCACTCGCACGCATTACATTCAGCTAAATCTATGAAATGCCAGTCACATCAAATCAGACAATAAAAGTGTGTAATTACGTGGATTTAACTAAACGGGAATGGTTTTAATTAGCTAAACGAGAACTATGTTTTCCACCAAAGTAAAAAAAAAAAATTTAATTTTCCCAAATCTCAGGCCTTTTATTAGCTTAATCATTTCAACAGGATCTTTTCATACTTAGAGGTACAAAGCACTAACATAGCTGAGAATTCTGCCAGTCTTTCCTCCCGTCATCTCCATCAGCTCAAAGATCTGGAAGTTCCAGGTGTTGATCCTTTCCATGAGTGCTTCATGGACCACCAGCGTAGAGTCCAACCTAAACTCCTCGTCTCCCTACCAGAGATCAATCACAGTCAGCTGACAGTAGGTAGAAGGTGTTGCAGTAATCACAGCTTAGTCTTGCAGGAAAAAGTCATGCTTAGCATCTTTTCCAGAGATAACAAGGAAAGGCTTTTACTAAGTCAGATAAATTGATGTTGTCCTCACAGGCTCTTACTGTAGACCCCTTTGGGCAGAAAGGGTTTGCAGAGAGATCCACTCAAGATTCACAGCTATAAATCCAGCAACTACATAATAATGCAAAAGCATGGGAATGCAAATAAGCACTCTGCTTCTAAACTCCACTCGGCTTGTTCAACAGCTGGCCACTTTAACAACTGCCAGATTGGCCAATAAAAGGAGTAGGAGAGCGGTGGAATCAAGACGAGGGCATTTCAGGTTACGTGAAAGAAAAGCTCTTCTCTTGCGGGGCTTTCTTAGGCGAAACAGCACTTCATAAATTAAAATTATTAATCCACAAGCAACACTGGATCTTTATTTCAGTTCCTGAGGCAATGTTCTAGACATTATTAAAATGAAACCATGTGGGGATAAAGTGTACATGTAGTTCAGCATGTGTGTGTGCTCTACCTCAGGATACAATGAGGACTGCTCCGTACTGGAGGTCTGTTCCTCTCCCTCAGGCTGGCTATTTAGTTTTTCCCCTGCTGTGTCTGCAGTCCTCTCCTCCTGAGACTCTGCCTCTAAGCTCTCCTCTCGGATCAAGTTTTCCCCACCATACTCCGCTCCTTCAGCTAAGAAAGCGAGCAAAAGCATCATTTTGAGTAATAAACCTAAGGATGGAATCAGGAATGACTCTTTTGTGATAAATGGCATTAATGTTATTAACTTTACCTGAGCGTGTTCTTTGCATCTCATTGGCTGTTACATGATGGCCCTCACCCACCTCTATGCTAGCCACACTTTTTATCATCTGTCGGCCACAACTACAAAAAAAACAAACAAAGAAACCCAATTAATTATGTCGTTTATGAGATACAACCTAATTGCAAGGAGAAGGGTTCTAGATGTTACAGTACCTGGTGCACAAGGGGGCCGAGGAGGGACCTCGATACTGCTGCTGGAAATCAGGCGAGCTCAGTGTGTAGCCCAGTGGTTTGTGCAGGTTGACACTGGGCTTGGTGAGGAAATCGGCAGTGTCTGGGAACTCCACTGGACTTTTATCATCTGTCGGCCACAACTACAAAAAAAACAAACAAAGAAACCCAATTAATTATGTCGTTTATGAGATACAACCTAATTGCGAGGAGAAGGGTTCTAGATGTTACAGTACCTGGTGCACAAGGGGGCCGAGGAGGGACCTCGATACTGCTGCTGGAAATCAGGCGAGCTCAGTGTGTAGCCCAGTGGTTTGTGCAGGTTGACACTGGGCTTGGTGAGGAAATCGGCAGTGTCTGGGAACTCCACTGGAGAGCGTGTGACCAGAGAGGAGCCGGGAGCAGCAGGGGGACTGTGACTCGGGGAGCTGACGGGACTCAGGCTGGGAGAAGCACCTATAGACACGAAAATCAATATCTACTCGTTTATCCAAAAATACATTTTAAAAAATGTAATTCATACAAAAAAGATCAAGTACATTCCTGCTATGATTTAATTTCTGAATTAAAATCATTTAGATTTTTTTTTTGAGGGCTTTAAGTCAAGGTGGTGCAATTGTACAGAGACCACTGTAAAGGTCAGTATTAAAATACTGAAATTCTTGAAAAAGTAATGTTGGCATAAACCAAATATTATTGCTTTTCTGTCCAATTAAATAAGTGTGGTGTAGTCAACATACTGTACAGGTGGCCATTTTGTTGTCATGCAACAAGAAAACAACCAGAAAGGACCCCCCCCCCCCCTCATGTTGTGTGTCAAGATCAGTGACCATTGACTTCCATTATATGGACAAAAACATGAAAGACATTTCTCAAAATATCTTTTATAAGTTCCACAGAAGAAAGATAGCCAAACAGGTTTGGAACAACATGAGGGTGAATAAAGAATGACAAAATTTTCATTTTTGATGTACTATAAATTTAAGTATTCTATATCTCACACACATTCATTCATTTATTTAACTTTGGAAAATGTATTTTTACGTTTTACTTGCTGGTTACCCCACACATTTTTTAAAACCAGTCTATAAACCAAAATATATAAGTAGAATAGGTTTAACAATTTTTTTTTTACTTTTTCTTAAAAATGAATAAATACAGACAGACAGACAGACAGACAGACAGACAGATAGACAGATAGATAGATAGATAGATAGATAGATAGATAGATAGATAGATAGATAGATAGATAGATATTGGCTTAAGTATTTTATACTAGATTTCGATTGTTGATGTACTATAAATTTAAGTATTCTATATCTCACACACATTCATTCATTTATTTAACTTTGGAAAATGTATTTTTACGTTTTACTTACTGGTTACCCCACACATTTTTTAAAACCAGTCTATAAACCAAAATATATAAGTAGAATAGGTTTAACAATTTTTTTTTTACTTTTTCTTAAAAATGAATAAATACAGACAGACAGACAGACAGACAGATAGACAGATAGATAGATAGATAGATAGATAGATAGATAGATAGATAGATAGATAGATAGATAGAAAGATAGATATTGGCTTAAGTATTTTATACTAGATTTCGATTTATTTGTTATTTACCAACATAAGAAGAGGACAGCTTTTGAAATAATGCCACCTCCACAATTATGACATGTAAATCAGTCTGGCTAATCTCCTAACTTTTACAAAATTTGATATGAAAGGAAGGTTATTTCACTCTTGATGGTTGCAGACCTGGTCTTCTGGGTATTGTGTGGCCATAGGAGAGTGTGACGGAGGAGGATCTCTGTTTAGGAATAGTCAGCAAGTTGCTGTTGGGCCCATTAGAAACACAACTCTGGCTGTAGGGTAAAAAAAAAAAAAAGAAGAAATGTATAGAAGTCACACAGCGGAGATAACAATTTTACTGATAGGTGACAGCATAATAAAATGACTTAATCTAAATACTTAATAAAAAAAGACATGGTGGTATGGAGTATTTTATGAATGACTGAATGTTCCATGTGAGCCTAAATCAATTTTTATTAGATGAAGTTTCTTTAGGGATTCTCAACCCAGATTCTGACCGATCGCTTTTTAATACTGCCACCTTGAGGACAAAGAGTAAAATTACAGAAAGCACTAAAACCTTAACTATTTGGTCATATTATGTCACGCTTGGTGGCGATTACCAATCCACAGATTCAAATGCACCAGTGTTCCTGTCCTTGCCCGACCCAGAGGAGTACAGAGAGTGCACTAAGATGTAAGAGTGCAGTCGTGAGGCAGTTTGAGAGCTCTGACCTGCTGAGCTCAGAGTGAGATCTCCTTCCACGTTCCCAGCGTGACGAGGCAGACTCCAGTGGGGGCAGAGAGGAAGAGGCTGAACTGCGCCTCAGCTGAGGGGTAGGGAGACTATTCCTGCTGCTCAGACCCTGAAAGTACAAGGTCATTAGGAAGTACTCAATAAACAGGCATGACTTACAGTGCACCAGTCGCAGGGACAATACCTCTGGAGATATCCAAGGGCACAACTGTGCTCAAGGGCACAAAGATGATGGCTACTAGCAGGGACTGAACCAGCAAATGCCCTAATGTCCCTGTATTGATCACTTAGCCCCAAGTTAATATTTTAAAACTCTCTCCTAAACTGCCTTCTCACTCATTTGTAGTATTTAAAAGTATTATCTTATTATAGTAAGTCATTGCATTTGGACGGTTCATGAAACAGTCAAGCAGTTTTTTAATTTGGTGCCCAAGAAATATTTTTATTATTATCAATGTTGAAAAAAGGTCCTGCTTAAGTTTTTTTTTGGAAATTGAGATATACTCTTTTTTTCAGGATTCTTTGAAGAATAGAATCAAAGCTTATTTTTTTTTAATTATCTAAAGACATTATAAATGTGACAAATGTAGTGTTCTTACAGAAAATAAATAAATAAATAAAAATCGTACTGACTCCAAACTTTTGACCAATAGTGTATAATATTGGTTCCATAATGGTGATTAGCTGATATCAGAGCCGTTTTTTTTTCATTCATTGTTATTGTCTATATTGCATATACAGTGGCTCATACTGGAAATGTAATTGTGCCACATTTCCCATATTATTAGACTTAACTTTTCATAATAAATATCCATCTATCAGACTATACATTATAATGATGTGATGCCTAAATTCATTTTAAGCATTTAAAACCACTGATTTTACTTTTTTAGTATAAACTGTAATTTATTTTGACAAAATAGCACAGAAATTTACTTTTTGGTCAGTAATCTGCCTTAACATGTATATAATTATCAGATTACCAGCACTGGTCATATCTTTAATATCAGTGCACAGAAAAATACATTCGATTCTAAAATTATTATAATTATTAATTATAAACACAAGATATGTTTATCCCTAAATATATAACTATTGTCCCTTGAGCAACAACAATATGACAGCTACTTTTTGTTAGTAGTTTGTGTGTTGCTACCTACTTTTTTAAAAGCGTAGCTTGACTGCAGTTACACTACTTCAAATTATGAGTGACTTGTAGCTCGGTGAGGAAAGTCTCTTTCCCAACACTGCGGCTCACCTACCTTCAGTGGCTTTCTCTCTCCTCTCTCTGAGGGGTCTTCGATCTCAGCGCAGGGGTAGAAGCCGGGGAAGGGGGTGAAGGGGTTGACCCGGGGCCGGCACGACCCAGAGAAAGCTCCCATGAGGCTGCTCACACTGCGCAGTGACGAGAGGACGTGTGGTGAGAGAGACGGGTCCATCAGCAGGTCTGAGACCAGGTTTCTGGCCTCGTTTATCACAGAGAGATCCACACCATTGCCACTCACTGCACCCTAAGCAGACAAAGATTAGAATGTCCATAGAATGCAAAATTAGGAAATCTGCTGCATAAAGAAACAACAATTTACCCTGTATGTATCGGTTTATGTGACTTATACTGCCTCCTTGTGGTCATTTAGAAGTACAGCATGATTTTATACATTTTTACATTTGGCAGACACTTTTATCCGAAGTGATTTACATTGCATTAAATCTACACCTTTTATCAGTTCATGCACTCCCTGGGAATCAAACCCATAACTTTGGTGTTTTTAGCGCCATGCAATGTTTGAGCTACAGCAACGCTACAGCATGTCATCCCAATACTCCAGTCTTGTGCCAGTAGTAACTGTAGCAAAGAATGACTCATTCTCAGAGCCATCCATTTGATAAATCCAGTCAAGTAGCACAGACAGTTTTTGATGATATCCACTCAGCGGGGAAAAAGCAACCGTTCATAATGATATTACAGGAAGAACTCTGGGTCTCTATAAACTCAGCTAGTTTTAATCCATCTTCAGCCTTGTGCGTACATGCTGAGCTCATTTTATTGATTGTATTTAATTCAGACCTACATCATTTTTTTTTAAGGGGGTGGTGGTTCTGATGAAAGTAATAAAGTAGAGTGGCGGCACTGCTGCGACCTGCGTGTGTGTGTGTGCTCACATGTGTGTGGTAAAAGTGCACAGCGAGCACTTCCTCCGGGCTTTGACGTCATTTGGCAAGCTTTATGTGAGCCAGGATGAGGGTTATCCACTCGCAGGTCAGCCGCAGTAATGAGCAGCGGGCAGATGGAGGGGCTACAGGCCTCAGCATGCTAACAGGCTACAAACTGTTCTCAGATGGACCATATGAGGCTCATTCAGACGGAAAGAAAGTAAGTGAGAGGAGATGCTGGTCTGTATGTGACGGACCACAAAGATTACTCTCTTATTCCAGGCTGGACATAATAACTTTCGAATTATATATTTCTAAAACATAAATGTGCTTAACATTTAGTACCAGGCATTCTGAATAAATGATTACTAAATACATTTTATACATTGATTTATAAATGAAAGTAGCTCACAAAGGTTCATAAAAAGTGAATTAAAAACATAGTCTGCTCTAGATATTGGCTGTTTAAGCCAGAATGTCATGGGAGTGCAGTTACCTAATAAAACTTACATAAATCATGCTGAGAAAATGTTGAAAAGCTGAATAGGAGTTGTACTGACCTGATATTGTGGCTTGTACCATTGTTTAAGGTCCCAGTCCCACAGGATCATCTAAAGTACACAAAACAAAGGCTCTTTAAAGCACATTTCATTCACGACCGCCACCCTGCACAAAACCTATGGAAATTTAAGACAAAGAAGCAGATAAATTAGTTATTTTTATGTTTCACCATGTAAAAATAAACCCATTTCTACGCATTGGTTTGAACAAGCGTTTGATGTGAGATTGAACGTTTTGTCAACACCTGAGCAATGCTTTTCGTGAGCTGAAAGCTGCTAAACGAAAACCTTTCTGGCGCTTGCAGGGAAAAAAAGAAAACCACTGTAACCACAATGAGACGTCAACAATAGCGCTCACAGATCTTATCTAGCCAAACTACGTCATTTGACTGCATTTCCACATTATCTGTCTCAGAGGCTCAGAGGAAAGTCACCCAACAGAAGCCAAGTCCCACAACACTATCACCAAGATAGGTCACAGGCTGTGTCTGTTTTTTGGTATCTTCGTAGCAAAGCAACTTTTACAGTTACACTGCAAAACAAGTTGTCCAAATATACATATATTAAAAAAATATGATTGAATGGTCTTGTAGACTGAAACTTGACTAATCCATATACCAAATTAGAGGCCCAAACTTGCACAAGTCACAATCAACATGTTTATAGCAACAAAACAAATATGCATTTCACACTCTAAACAGACATTTGAGAAATGTGATTTTAATATGCATTCAGCTAAAGATTTCTTGGTAACACTTTACAACGAGGTTCATTAGTTAACTACTTTAGTTAACATTAAGAATGAGCATTAGGCCTACTTCTACAGCATTTATTAATCTTAGCTAATGTTAATTTCAACATTTACCAGTGCATTATTGAAATCAAATGTTGTGCTTCTTTACATTAGTTAATGCATAGTGAATTAACATGTACTAACAATCAACGACTGTATTTTCATTAACTAACATTAATAAATACTGTACTAAATGTATTGCTAAATGTATAATTAACTAACATTAACTAATGGAACCTTATTGTAAAGTGTTACCGATATATTTTTCATTTGGCATATTTGGGAAGTATGAGCCATATTAGGCTGGTTGACAAAAAGTAAGGTGTTCATTTATTTTTAAACATCAAGATTTTGGTTCAAATTTATGTGAATATATAAGGGGAAAAAATTGATTTTAGGTGCAATAACTAATAAATACGTTTCTGACTATTTTCCTGGCCACCTTACATTTTTGCAATACAATTCTACAGTCCTACAAAGTGACAAATTAATTTTTTAAAAGGACAAATTCCATGCAGTTTTGTGGCCTCATATTAATTAAAAGACTACATGTATATAGTTTTATAAGAAATAGAAAAATGTTGGATTTTATCATAACAACCCATTTATTTATTCTGAGTCTGGTTTATTTCGGTTTACAACAATAAAGAGATCAAATCCTTTCTTTCAAGGATAAAGAAAACTTTTCAGGGAAAACTGACAAATTAATTTCGCAACCAAGCAAACACAAATTAACCAGAGTTCACCAGCATTACCTAAACAGTGGCATGTCACAGTTCGAAGATAATCAGACAAGCAAAGTTCGAGAGAGTTCTTGGCCAACAACGGCTCATATGTAAGCAGTCGCCAAGTTAAACTCAGAAAGTCACTGTAACTGAATGGCAGCGCAGCGTTTGCCCACATGGGGGAGTACTGGTGATATGCGAGAGAACATTACAGACAAAGCAAGAAGTCCCCTGCACCTGCGCTGGCCGTGCCATGTGCCACTTCCAGCAGCTCTGATCTTTAAAACCAGCAGCACTCTGAGGCACTCAGAGCTGTCCAAAAGACATGACCACAGAGAACAACATATGGAGCTGATGGAAACACACTCACCTGCTTTCACTGAATCAAAAGAGTAACACATAAACCAAGACACAAATGAAGAGTTCAAATGACTTGATTCCTTGTCTGGATTGGGATTTGATTACGATGTAGACACTGTGGCCCTCTTGCTCTCAAATCAGACGTTTTACTGATCAGACGGAGACGATCACTGTTACCTGTCAGCATCTGCTTAACACCATCAGACATTTAATATGGCAAATAAGCACTGCCATGGCAACCTGACAGAGGCCAGCAAATAATAGTACAAACGTCACAGCATTCAGAATGGTGGGAGATAGATCGAGCTGTCTGACACTTTTTCTCTCCAACACAGGGAAGGTTCTGTGGGTCAAAAATGACCACTTAACATCTGACTGGTCAGATACGATCCCATTAAATCGAGCATGCGGCATAGAGCTAAATAAGTACATAAACATAGACTCCAGTCTTGACCCCTCTGAACGCCCCACAATGTCACAGTTACTTAAGCAAATCTCGCTATGTTCTTTACGCTCTGTTGAGCTAGCAAGCTTCACAGATGGAACAGAGATTAACAGAAAAATAAAGGTGGGTCAGTTTCACAAAATCGGCTTCCTTGAATATTTTACAATATTTTGACTCTTGTATACCTGCTATTAAGATTTGTTTGGGTGAAGTGAACAGCACTAAATGCGGGTCCAAAATGAGCTAATTCAGACATAGCTGAAAAAGCACGTGTTCACATTGCATTTAGAGTTTAACTGCTAATCCGTCCTGATAGACTTCCATTCAAAAGTTTGACATCTTTAAGTTAAAATAGTAATAATTTTATTTAGCAAGTGTGGGTTAAACTGATCTAAAGTGACAGTAAAGAATTTTAAAAGAAATGTTATGCTTTCTCTTTTACAAAGTATCCTGTATAATTATTCCTACAAAATATTAAACAGTACAACTTGTTTTCGACATTCATAATAATACTGCACTTTTTTTAAAAGCAAATCAGCATATTTACAATGATTTCTGAAAGGTCATGTTACGCTGAAGACTGGAGAAATGGAAAAATTCTGCATTGCCATCACAGAAATAAATTCAATTTGCATTAAGTGCATTAATATTAAATCATTAGTTTACATTGTAATATTTCACACTATTATTGTATTTTAGACCTAATAAATGCCGCCTTGGTGAGTATGAGAATTCTTTAATTCAAATACATTTGAGAAAAATCGACTGATGTTGACATGCAGTTAGACAGATCACATGAAGCACAGCTGAAGTAAAGTAGGTAAAGGACTAGTCCACTTAAAACATCATGTTTGTTTTTAGATTAAAATGCATGTATTTTTGAGAGTAACACTACGCAGATTTTGCTTGTACACTAGTCATTCCTTGTATGTAGTCATGAAATCAGAGACTTTCCCCTTGAAATCCGTCATCATTCACGTAACTACTTGGTGTAAACACCTGCAAAAATTTAAAGGATATTGTCTTACCCTGACTCCATATATCTCAATCACTATTTTCAAAAAAAGTTTTATATATTATAAAAGGTAAAAAAAAATTTTTTTTTAAATGTATGAATATTGTGTTGTCTTACTAGAGTTGCACCATTTGCTATAGCCTTGATATAAATCAAAAGGTCAAATCTAAAATATTACCTAAAATGTCTTTGAAAGCAGTCTTTATTGCTCAATAAGGTTGCATTTGAATGATAAAAATATAAAAATAGTAATACTGCGAAATATTATTAGAATTTAATATAAATGTTTTCTATTTGAATATATTTTAAAATGTTGTAGTTTCCAGATTTGCTGCTCAAGAAACATTTATTATTATTAATGTTGAAAACAAATATTTTTGTGGAAAGTGTGATATATTTTTTCAGGATTCCTTGATAAATAGAAAGTTCAAAATAATAGCAGCATTTATTTAAAATAGAACATTTTTGTTAGAACACAAATGTAAAAAGACTTTGCTGTTACTTTTAATGCACCCTGCTGAATTAAACAAATTTCTTTAAAAAAAAATCTACGTCAAATAAATTCTGTTATTCAGTATGTTCTAATTAAAAATATGTATGACTGTTTCCACCTAAATAAGCAGCACATCTGTTTTCAGCATTGTAATAATGAAAAAAGAAACATTTATTATTATTATTAATGTTGAAAACAAATATTTTTGTGGAAAGTGTGATACATTTTTTCAGGATTCCTTGATAACCAGAAAGTTCAAAAGAACAGCATTTATTTAAAATAGAACATTTTTATTAGAACACAAATGTAAAATGTCTTGGCTGTTACTTTAATGGATCCTGCTGAATAAAACTATTAATAAATTTGTTTAAAAATTGAATTTTTAACACATTTATATATATACAAAAAAAATCTGATTAAAAACCAAGCAAATAGTAGCAGAACAAACACCCATACATGTGCAAAAATACACTCCCTTATTCCAACCCACAGGCAAAAAGAGACAGTCTTGTTCTTTAAAGGACAGATAACCTGCGAGTGTATTGTGGGGGAAATGTGTCATATAGTATTTGCATTACAAAACACCAATTTAAAACACTCGAAAGTAGACTCTAGTCTGCAGATATTCGCCTACATAAGGTCAAAGCCATCATACTTTACGTAAACCTAAAGCTAACACAAACGACATGTGGGAACTTTGCTGACAATGAGACTAAATAAAAATGAGACATCAACAACACTGAACCTAAAAACTTTACTTGAAGGGGTGTGCTTAAGACTGACATGACACCTTCATAATCATGACATGTCACATGTCATGAATATGAAGGAGGTTTTATGCATGTTTATGACAACTGTCATTAAGTGTCATTCGCTCAGTTATGTCATTTTTAATGCAAATATGACATTATTTGACCTAACCCTAACCTAAGCCTACCCCTACCCTTACCACTAACCATAGCCCATAACAAAGACATCTCAAACAATGTCATCTTTGCATTAAAAATTACATAACTGAGCAAATGACACTTAATGGCAGTTGTCATAAACATGCATAAAAAAACCTTCATATTCATGACATGTGTCATGTCATGATTATGTAGGTGTCATGTCATGATTATGAAGGTGTCATGTCAGTCTTATGCACACCCCTTCAAGTAAAGTGTAACCCAAACGACCAATTAATTATATTTCTACAGTATATATTCATCTAAAATGTTAATGTTTACATACAAATAAATTTTTATTTTTAAAGTTGTATAAAG